CTTGCCTGTCACCCTGGAGCGTTGCAGTGCTCTTACCGGCCACCCTGGAGTGTTGCAATGCTCTTGCCGGACACCCTGGAGCGTTGCAATGCTCTTGCCGACCACCCTGAAGCATTGCAATGCTCTTGCCAAACACCCCGAAGCGTTGCAATGCTCTTGCCGAACACCCTGGAGCGTTGCAATGCTCTTGCCAGCCACCCTGGAGCGTTGCAATGCTCTTGCCGACCATCCTGGAGCGTTGCAATGCTCTTGCCGAACACCCCGCAGCGTTGCAATGCTCTTGCCGGACACCCTGGAGCGTTGCAATGCTCTTGCCGGACACCCCGGAGCGTTGTAGTGCTCTTTCCGGAAAACCCGGAGCGTTGCAATGCTCTTGCCGACCACCCTGGAGCGTTGCAATGCTCTTGCTGGACACCCTGGAGCGTTGCAATGCTCTTGCCGGCCACCCTGGAGCGTTGCAATGCTCTTGCCGGACACCCCGGAGCGGTGCAGTGCTCTTGCTAGACACCCCGGAGCGTTGCCGTGCTCTTGCCGGACACCCCGGAGCGTTGCAATGCTCTTGCCGGACACCCTGGAGCGTTGCAATGTTCTTGCCGGCCACCCTGGAGCATTGCAATGCTCTTGTCAGACACCCCGGAGCGTTGCAGTGCTCTTGCCGCACACCCCGGAGCGTTGCAGTGCTCTTGCCGGACACCCCAGAGCATTGCAATGCTATTGCCGGATATCCCGGAGCGTTGCAATGCTCTTGCCGGTCACCCCGGAGCGTTGCATTGCTCTTGCTGGACACCCTGGAGCGTTGCAATGCTCTTGCCAGCCACCCTGGGTGGTTGCAATGCTCTTGCCGACCACCCTGGAGCGTTGCAATGCTCTTGCCGGCCACCATGGAGCGTTGCAATGCTCTTGCCGGACACCCCGGAGCGTTGCAGTGCTCTTGCCGGACACCCCGAAGCATTGCAGTGCTCTTGCTGGACACCCCAGAGCGTTGCAATGCTCTTGCCGACCACCCTTGAGCGTTGCAATGCTCTTGCCGGACACCCTGGAGCGTTGCAATGCTCTTACCGGCCACCCTGGAGCATTGCAATGCTCTTGCCGGACACCCCAGAGCGTTGCAGTGCTCTTGCCGCACACCCCGGAGCGTTGCGGTGCTCTTGCCGGACACCCCGGAGCGTTGCGGTGCTCTTGCCGGATACCCTGGAGCATTGCAATGCTCTTGCCGGTCACCCTGGAGCGTTGCAATGCTCTTGCCGGACACCCCGGAGCGTTGCAGTGCTCTTGCCGGACACCTCAGAGCGTTGCAGTGCTCTTGCCGGACACCCTGGAGCGTTGCAATGCTCTTGCCGGATACCCCGGAGCCTTGCAATGCTCTTGCCGGTCACCCTGGAGCGTTGCAGTGCTCTTTCCGGCCACCCTGGAGCATTGCAATGCTCTTGCCAGACACCCTGGAGCGTTGCAATGCTCTTGCCGACCACCCTAAAGCGTTGCAATGCTCTTGCCGGACACCTGGGAGCGTTGCAATGCTCTTGCCGGACACCCTGGAGCGTTGCAATGCTCTTGCCGACCACCCGAGAGCGTTGCAATGCTCTTGCCGGACACCCTGGAGCGTTGCAATGCTCTTGCCGGATATCCCGGAGCATTGCAATGCTCTTGCCGGTCACCCTAGAGCGTTGCAGTGCTCTTTCCGGCCACCCTGGAGCGTTGCAATGCTCTTGCCAGACACCCTGGAGCGTTGCAATGCTCTTGCCGACCACCCTGAAGCATTGCAATGCTCTTGCCGGACACCTGGGAGCGTTGCAATGCTCTTGCCGGACACCCTGGAGCGTTGCAATGCTCTTGCCGACCACCCGAGAGCGTTGCAATGCTCTTGCCGGACACCCCGGAGCGTTGCAATGCTCTTGCCGGACACCCCAGAGCGTTGCAATGCTCTTGCCGACCACCCTGGAGCATTGCAATGCTCTTGCTGGACACCCTGGAGCATTGCAATGCTCTTGCCGGCCACCCTGGACTGTTGCAATGCTCTTGCCAGACACCCCGGAGCGGTGCAGTGCTCTTGCTGGACACCCCGGAGCGTTGCAGTGCTCTTCCTGGACACCCCGGAGCGTTGCAGTGCTCTTGCCGGACACCCCGGAGTGTTGCAGTGCTGTTGCCGGACACCCCGGACCGTTGCAGTGCTATTGCCGGACACCATGGAGCGTTGCAATGCTCTTGCCAGATACCCCGGAGCGTTCCAATGCTCTTGCCGGTCAACCTGGAGCGTTGCAGTGCTCTTACCGGCCACCCTGGAGCGTTGCAATGCTCTTGCCGACCACCTTGAAGCATTGCAATGCTCTTGCCAGACACCCCGGAGCGTTGCAATGCTCTTGCCGGACACCCTGGAGCGTTGCAATGCTCTTGCCAGCCACCCTGGAGCGTTGCAATGCTCTTGCCGACCACCCTAGAGCGTTGCAATGCTCTTGTCGGACACCCTAGAGCATTGCAATGCTCTTACCGGACACCCCAGAGCGTTATAGTGCTCTTTCCGGAAAACCCGGAGCGTTGCAATGCTCTTGCCGGACACCCCGGAGAGTTGCAATGCTCTTGCCGACCACCCTGGAGCGTTGCAATGCTCTTGCTGGACACCCTGGAGCGTTGCAATGCTCTTGCCGGCCACCCTGGAGCGTTGCAATGCTCTTGCCGGACACCCCGGAGCGGTGCCGTGCTCTTGCTGGACACCCCGGAGCGTTGCCGTGCTCTTGCCGGACACCCCGGATCATTGCAGTGCTCTTGCCGGACACGCTGAAGCGTTGCAGTGCTCTTGCCGGACTCCCCGGACCGTTGCAGTGCTCTTGCCGGACACCCTGGAGCGTTGCAGTGCTCTTGCCGGACACCCCGGAGCGTTGCAGTGCTCTTGCCGGACACCCCAGAGCGTTGCAATGCTCTTGCCGACCACCCTTGAGCGTTGCAATGCAGTTGCCGGACACCCTGGAGCATTGCAATGCTCTTGCCGGCCACCCTGGAGCATTGCAATGCTCTTGCCAGACACCCCGTAGCGTTGCAGTGGTCTTGCCGGACACTCCGGAGCGTTGCGGTGCTCTTGCCGGACACCCCAGAGCATTGCAATGCTCTTGCCGGATACCCCGGAGCATTGCAGTGTTCTTGCCGGTCACCCTGGATCGTTGCAGTGCTCTTGCCGGACACCCCGGAGCGTTGCAGTGCTCTTGCCGGACACCCCGGAGCGTTGCACTGCTCTTGCCGGACACCCTGGAGCGTTGCAATGCTCTTGCCGGATACCCCGGAGCATTGCAATGCTCTTGCCGGTCACCTTGGAGCGTTGCAGTGCTCTTTTCGGCCACCCTGGAGCGTTGCAATGCTCTTGCCAGACACCTGGAGCGTTGCAATGCTCTTGCCGACCACCCTGAAACATTGCAATGCTCTTGCCGAGGAGCGTTGCAATGCTCTTGCCGGACACCCTGGAGCGTTGCAATGCTCTTGCCGACCACCCGAGAGCAATGCAGTGCTCTTGCCGGACACCCTGGAGCGTTGCAATGCTCTTGCCAGACACCCTGGAGCGTTGCAATGCTCTTGCCGGACACCCCGGAGCGTTGCAATGCTCTTGCCGGACACCCCGGAGCGTTGCAACGCTCTTGCCGATCACCCGGGAGCGTTGCAATGCTCTTGCCGGACACCCTGGATCGTTGCAATGCTGTTGCCGGCCACCCTGGATCGTTGCAATGCTCTTGCCGGCCACCCTGGATCGTTGCAATGCTCTTGCCGGCCACCCTGGAGCGTTGCAATGCTCTTGCCGGCCACCCTGGAGCATTGCAATGCTCTTGCAGGACACCCTAGAGCGTTGCAGTGCTCTTGCCGGACTCCCCGAAGCGTTGAGTGCTCTTTTCAGACACCCCGGAGCGTTGCAGTGCTCTTGCCGACCACCCTGGGGCGTTGCAATGCTCTTGCCGGACACCCTGGAGCGTTGCAATGCTCTTGCCAGACACCTGGAGCGTTGCAATGCTCTTGCCGACCACCCTGAAGCGTTGCAATGCTCTTGCCGAACACCTGGGAGCGTTGCAATGCTCTTGCCGGACACCCTGGAGCGTTGCAATGCTCTTGCCGACCACCCGAGAGCGATGCAATGCTCTTGCCGGACACCCCGGAGCGTTGGAATGCTCTTGCCAGACACCCTGGAGCGTTGCAATGCTCTTGCCGGACACCCCGGAGCGTTACAATGCTCTTGCCGGACACCCCGGAGCGTTGCAGTGCTCTTGCCGGACACCCCGGAGCATTGCAGTGCTCTTGCCGGACACCCTGGAGCATTGCAATGCTCTTGCCGGATACCCCGGAGCATTGCAATGCTCTTGCCGGTCACCCTGGAGCGTTGCAGTGCTCTTTCCGGCCACCCTGGAGCGTTGCAATGCTCTTGCCAGACACCCTGGAGCGTTGCAACGCTCTTGCCGACCACCCTGAAGCGTTGCAATGCTCTTGCCGGACACCTGGGAGCGTTGCAATGCTCTTGCCGGACACCCTGGAGCGTTGCAATGCTCTTGCCGACCAACCGAGAGCGTTGCAATGCTCTTGCCGGACACCCCGGAGCATTGCAATTCTCTTGCCAGACACCCTGGAGCGTTGCAACGCTCTTGCCGGACACCCCGGAGCGTTGCAATGCTCTTGCCAGATACCCCGGAGCGTTGCAACGCTCTTGCCGACCACCCGAGAGCATTGCAATGCTCTTGCCGGACACCCTGGATCGTTGCAATGCTCTTGCCGGCCACCCTGGAGCGTTGCAATGCTCTTGCCGGCCACCCTGAAGCGTTGCAATGCTCTTGCGGGACACCCTGGAGCGTTGCAATGCTCTTGCCGGCCACCCTGGTGCATTGCTATGCTCTTGCCGGACACCCTAGAGCGTTGGAGGAGCAGGTATCGGTGATGTGCCAGCAGCTGCAGCTGGCTCGCCTCTTGCACCGCCGTGAAGCGCCAAACCTCTCCTTTTTTGTCCGCCTGCCCGCACCTCAACCCACCCCCCCCAGGCAGGCTTGCATCGTAGCAGGAAAGCCAGCAGCGCTAGCAGCGGCAGCAGGGGGGCAGCGATGGAGGAGCAGGTATCGGTGATGTGCCAGCAGCTAAAGCTGGCTCGCCGCTTGCACCGCCCCATCGCCCTGCACTGCGTTCAGGCGTATGGTCACATGCTCACAGCCCTGCAGCAGGTATGACACTGCATCAAGTGTGGCGCTGCAGCAAGTGTGGCGTTACCAACGCACTGTGCCCCATCGCCCTGCACTGCGTTCAGGCGTATGGTCACATTCTCACGGCCCTGCAGCAGGTACGGCACTGCAACAGGTATGGCACTTCGAGCTTGTGGGTGCATGTGGTAGCGGATTGTGGAAAGGATATCGACATGCTCTCGCGGCCACCCTTCACCTCCACTACACTCCCTCCCCACAGCATGGTCCATTTTACTAGGAGTCATTCCAGATTCTTTCAACATTTCATGCGGTGCAGTGCCTGAGCGTGCGGTGCAGTGCATGAGCGTGCGGTGCAGTGCATGAGTGTGCGGTGCAGTGCATGAGCGTGCGGTGCAGTGTATGTGCGTGCGGTGCAGTGCATGTGTGTGCGGTGCCGCGTATGAGCGGGCGGTGCAGCGTATGAGCGGGCGGTGCAGCGTATGAGCGGGCGGTGCAGCGTATGAGCGGGCGGTGCAGCGTATGAGCGGGCGGTGCAGCGTATGAGCGGGCGGTGCAGCGTATGAGCGGGCGGTGCAGCGTATGAGCGTGCGGTGCAGCGTATGAGCGTGCGGTGCAGCGTATGAGCGTGCGGTGCAGCGTATGAGCGGGCGGTGCAGCGTATGAGCGGGCAGTGCAGCGTATGAGCGTGCGGTGCAGCGTATGAGCGTGCGGTGCAGCGTTTGTGCGTGCGGTGCAGCGTTTGTGCGTGCGGTGCAGCGTATGAGCGTGCGGTGCAGCGTATGAGCGTGCGGTGCAGCGTATGAGCGTGCGGTGCAGCGTATGAGCGTGCGGTGCAGCGTATGAGCGGGCGGTGCAGCTTATAAGCGGGCGGTGCAGCGTATGAGCGGGCGGTGCAGCGTATGAGCGTGCGGTGCAGCGTATGAGCGTGCGGTGCAGCGTATGGGCGTGCGGTGCAGCGTATGGGCGTGCGGTGCAGCGTATGGGCGTGCGGTGCAGCGTATGGGCGTGCGGTGCAGCGTATGCGCGTGCGGTGCAGCGTATGAGCGGGCGGTGCAGCGTATGAGCGGGCGGTGCAGCGTATGAGCGGGCGGTGCAGCGTATGAGCGTGCGGTGCAGCGTATGAGCGTGCGGTGCAGCGTATGAGCGTGCGGTGCAGCGTATGAGCGTGCGGTGCAGCGTTTGTGCGTGCGGTGCAGTGTATGAGCGTGCGGTGCAGCGTATGAGCGTGCGGTGCAGCGTATGAGCGTGCGGTGCAGCGTATGAGCGTGCGGTGCAGCGTATGAGCGTGGGGTGCAGCGTATGCGCTTGCGGTGCAGCGTATGAGCGTGCGGTGCAGCGTATGAGCGTGCGGTGCAGCGTATGAGCGTGCGGTGCAGCGTATGAGCGGGCGGTGCAGCGTATGAGCGGGCGGTGCAGCGTATGAGCGTGCGGTGCAGCGTATGAGCGGGCGGTGCAGCGTATGAGCGAGCGGTGCAGCGTATGAGCGGGCGGTGCAGCGTATGAGCGTGCGGTGCAGCGTATGAGCGTGCAGTGCAGCGTATGAGCGTGCGGTGCAGCGTATGAGCGTGCGGTGCAGCGTTTGAGCGTGCGGTGCAGCGTATGAGCGTGCGGTGCAGCGTTTGAGCGTGCGGTGCAGCGTATGAGCGTGCGGTGCAGCGTATGAGCGTGCGGTGCAGCGTATGAGCGTGGGGTGCAGCGTATGCGCTTGCGGTGCAGCGTATGAGCGTGGGGTGCAGCGTATGAGCGTGCGGTGCAGCGTATGAGCGTGCGGTGCAGCGTATGAGCGGGCGGTGCAGCGTATGAGCGGGCGGTGCAGCGTATGAGCGGGCGGTGCAGCGTATGAGCGGGCGGTGCAGCGTATGAGCGTGCGGTGCAGCGTATGAGCGGGCGGTGCAGCGTATGAGCGGGCGGTGCAGCGTATGAGCGGGCGGTGCAGCGTATGAGCGGGCGGTGCAGCGTATGAGCGGGCGGTGCAGCGTATGAGCGTGCGGTGCAGCGTATGAGCGTGCGGTGCAGCGTATGAGCGTGCTGTGCAGCGTATGAGCGTGCGGTGCAGCGTATGAGCGTGCGGTGCAGCGTATGAGCGTGCGGTGCTGCGTATGAGCGTGCGGTGCAGCGTATGAGCGTGCGGCTCAGTGTATGAGCAGTGTATCCTTTAGTTTCTCGTACTCCACGTCTCGTAACCTCATTCTGCCCCTCTCTCTCCCCCACCTTCTCCCCTTTCCTTCTCTCTCTCCCCTCCCCTCTCCCCACAGCACTGCCCATTTCCAGCAGGCGTCATTCTGCATTCCTTCAACGGCCCTCCAGACATTCTCCCAGCGCTCCACCTCTCCCCCTTCCAGCCCTCTTAACCTCCCCGCCTCCATCCCTCCCCACAGCACGGCCCATTTCCAGCAGGCGTCATTCTGCATTCTTTCAACGGCCCTCCAGAAATGATTTCAGCGCTCGTTACTCTGAACGCCTTCTTCTCCTTCTCCCGCCTCTCCGCCTCCTCTCCCCCACACAAGCTCGCACACCTGCTGCAGCAGGTATGCCCCTCACAACCTCCGCTCTTGCACTGCAAGAACAGATTCTTGTGTCCCAAACTACATCTTCCTTCCCCAATCCACATGCCTCACCCACCCCTTAGGGTGCTGCTCCCACCCACCTCATCCGCTCTCTCCCCTCCCCCTTCCCCTCCCCCTTCACCTTCCACCCCTCCAGGTGCTTTTAAATCGCCTCCTACTGGAGACAGACTCACCCGACGGCCTCCCCCCAGCCCCCTGACCCACCTCTTTCTTACTCGCTCGCTCCCACCCTCCTCGCTCCTCTCTCTCTCCCCTCCCCCTTCACCTTCCACCCCCCCAGGTGCTTTTAAATCGCCTCCTACTGGAAACAGACTCACCTGACGGCCTCCCCCCAGCCCCCTGACCCACCTCTTTCTTATTCGCCTCCTCCCATCCTCCTAACTCTCTCCCCTCCCCCTTCACCTCCCCCTTCACCTTCCACCCCCCCAGGTGCCTCTAGATCGCCTCCTACTGGAAACAGACTCACCTGACGGCCTCCCCCCTGCCAGGCGCAAGGGGGAGGAGGGCAGCACTGGGAGGGGCGGGGGAGAAGACGGGAAGGCGGGGAGGGGTGGGGATGAGGGGTGCAGGAGGAGGGAGTCTCATTCTGAGGCGCGGCAACGAGGGGAGAGTGGAGGAGGCGAGAGGGGCGGCATGGAAAGGGAGAGAGGAGAGGAGAGAGGAGAGGAGAGAGGAGAGGACAGAGGGAAGGAGGGAGGGGGGGAGAGAGGAGAGGAAAGGGCGGAGAGAGGATCGGGAGAGGCAGAGGAAGAAGGCAGGGGAGAGGTGGAGGGCAGTGGCGATGATTCTGCCTTGAACTCACCAGCTACCATTGGCCTGGTGAGAGGGCACTGTTGATGAGGCACACTCACACACTTACGCATGCCACACACTCCCATCCCACATGACACACACTCATGCATGGTTAACACTCACGCATGACACAAGCACCATGAGATGTGGCTCTAGTCGCCTCTTTTATCCCTCCCATCTCGCCTTCCCTACTCACTTCGCCCTTCTCCCTACTGGCTTCTCCCGTTTTCCCACTTTCTCCCGTCTACCTTCTCCCCTTTCCCTTCTTTCTCCTCCCACCTTTCTCCCCCTTGTCTCTCCCCACTGCCCCCATCCAGGTGTGTGAGATGGTGGCGAGCAGCATGGGCAGATCGAAGGATGAGGTAGCAGAAGCAGCATTCGCCAATGCTGTTCGGCTCTTCTCCTACCCTGGCTCACGTCTTCCTCCTTTGAAGACGCCTAAAACTTAGGAGTACCTTAGTCGCAGCATTTCCATTGTGAGGTGTCCCTGCCACAACTTACTTTGGTTAGTGTGTCTGCATGTATACACACTTGTGAGTAGGGTGCCTAGTTTGTGGATGTGAAAGTCCTGTGGTTAGGGTGCATGCAAGGTTCTTTTGATTTGGGTCAGGTGCCCCTGTGGCTAGAATAATTGGGTTAAAGGGCCTGTGGTTGGTGTTCCCTTTATAAGTGCTGTGATGCACAAACCCTGTAGTTATTGTGCTTGTTAGTTAGTGCTCTGTACCACAAGCCTTGTAACTGGCGTGCATGGAGGCACAAGCCCTGTATTATGTGTCCCTGAAGTTAGCATGCCTGGGTGCACAAGCCCTGTATTTAGTGTCCCGTTTCTGTAGTTAGCGCCTGGGTGCACAAGCCCTTTATTTTGTGTCCATGTATAGTTAGCGTTCCTGGGTGCACAAGCCCTGTATTTAGTGTCCCTGTAGTTAGCGCGCATTGGTGTGCAAGCCCTGTATTTACTATCCCTGCAGTTAGCGTGCCTGCATGCACAAACTCTGTATTTAGAGTCCCTGTAGTTAGCGTGCCTGGGTGTGCAAGCCCTGTATTTCGCGTCCCTGTAGTTAGCTTTCCTGGGTGCACAAGCCCTGTATATTTAGTGTCCCTGTAGTTAGCGTTTGCACAAGCCCTGTATTTAGTGTTCCTACAGTTAGCATGCCTGGGTGCACAAGCCCTGTATTTTAAGTCCCTGTAGTTAGCGTGCCTTTGTGTACAAGCCCTGTTTTTAGAGTCTCTGTAGTTAGCATGCCTCGGTGCACAAGCCCTGTAGTTAGTGATCCCTGTAGTTAGTGATCCCTGTAGTTAGTGATCCCTGTAGTTAGTGACCCCTGTAGTTAGTGATCCCTGCAGTTAGTGATCCCTGTAGTTAGTGATCCCTGCAGTTAGTGATCCCTGCAGTTAGTGATCCCTGTAGTTAGTGATCCCTGTAGTTAGTGATCCCTGTAGTTAGTGATCCCTGTAGTTAGTGATCCCTGTAGTGAGTGATCCCTGTAGTTAGTGTGCCCCGAGGCACAATCCCTGTGGTTAGCGTGCCCTACGCGGGGAGTTGCTGAGGTGGGTGGGTCGCAGGGGGAAGTGTGTCGCAGGGGGAGGAAGGGGAAGGGGCAACGCAAGGAGTCCTACGCAGGGGGAGGGGGATACCACACCTGAGAGTGTTACTAACCTAGATATCCTATATCCTCTTTAAACTAGTTCAGCTCTAACCTGTGTGGTCTTCATCCTCCTGTCTTGGCTTCCACATGGAACTGATTCGGTTGTCCTGCAAGCAGAGGAGAGGAGGCAAGGCAGACGCAATTTGAGCTTCACCACATGATGAAATGAGATATGATATGATGTGTGTTTGGGTTGGATTGGACAATATTGGGTGGGGACGAGGGTTTGCGCCAGCGAGTGTGATGCAGAGGAGAAGAGGGCACCTACCAATGAACTTGACAGGAAAAAACGGCACAACTCACGTGCTACTCTCGTTCGCCCTCGCACTTCAGTACTACTGCCACACTGTTACTCCGCGCGCACCAGTTTTGTCACATCTGAAGGAGGAAACACGAGAGGAAAAGGTATGTGGGAAAGGCACCAGAAGCATAAAGAAAGAAAGAGGCAGAAATGAAGGCATGTGAAACGTAGACGAGAGAAGGCGGTACAAAGAGGAGGAAACAGCAGGAAAACGGAATTGAAAGGCTGGCATCAGAACCTCGGGGCAGAGGAGGAGGGGGTTGACTGGGCAGCCTTACCATGAAAAGAGGATGATCCGCCTCGTCTGACTTGGCTGTGCCTGAAGTTCGTCTCATGCCACCACTGCCGTCCATGGCACCACTGCCGTCCATGGCACCACTGCCGTCCATGGCACCACTGCCGTCCTTGCCTGAAGATTTGAATGCCGGGATGGAGGAGCATATGAGAAGGAGCATGAAGGAAAAGAAAGCAAGAGGCGATGACGGCAGCGAGAGTGCATAATTTTGAAAAGGTGTTGGGGAAGGGATGATGAACGTACCACGGGAAGAGGGCTCAGCTGATTCGCCCTTGCCTGTTGCCGCTTGATACAGTTGCTGCTGTTGCAAACTCCCCTGTTGTGCTTGGCTGTAGGACAAAAGGCAGGGGAGGAGGAGACAGGGAAGATATGAGATAAGCAGTGCTGATGTATAAAGGAGAAAGAGAGGGTATTGAATGGGGAAGAAATCTTACCATGTACCTCTGTCCGTTGCTCCTCTGTCCCATTGAATGCGAATGCTGTTTGACCGGTGCTCCCTCTGTCCCTCACTGCTCCAGAGAACCTGCAAAACCATCGTGAAAACGCGTTAGAAGAGGAAATGTTAGAGTGGGAGAGTGGGGAACACTGTATGACTGTCACCTCCGCCCCTTGGGTCCTCCTCCGTCCCCAAATGAACTGACGGAGCGACAGCTGTATGGGAGAGGCGGCGGCGAGTGAGTAAGCGGGAGGAATCAAGCAGAGGTGTTGACCCCCCTTATTCTCCTCGGAAGATGGAAGAAAGCACAGCGGAGGGAAGAGTGGTGCCAGGGAATGAAATGAGGAGCAACGTGAAGGTGTACAGTCATGCAGAGAGGAGTGGGAGGGGCGCAAGCAAGTGAGTAGGCACCAAGGAGTAATTGGGCCGAAGGAAGCAAATGTGGAGATAGAAAGACAGGTGAGAGTAAAGGGGAGAAGTAAGTGGCAATCAGAGCATTAATCGACCGAGTCAGAAGGGATTAGAAGGGTAAGGAAATGTCAGAGGAGACTTACCACATCACAAGTCTTCTCCACTATCTCTGCCCCCCTCTTGTCTGCCCCCCTTGTCTGCCCCCCTTGTCTGCTCCCTCTTGTCTGCTCCCCCTTGTCTGCTCCCCCTTGGAGGCTCCCTCTGCTCCCCCTTGGAGGCTCCCTCTGCTCCCTCTTGGAGGCTTCCGAACATCTGAGACAGTGGCAGATGAACAAGTGGCAGGGGAGAAGACGGCAAGTACAGGAGGCAATGGAAACCGAGCGAAGACGAAAGGAGGAGGACCATAAGAATGAACTGCAAGGGAGACCTTATCATGTCTGCTGAAGCAAACTCTTGTCCTCCTGCGTTTCCTCTCCTCCTCCTCTGCTCCCTCTCCTCCTCCTCTGCTTCCCCTCCTCCTCCTTTGCTTCCTCTTCTCCTCTCATTCCTCTTCTCCTCCTCTGCTTCCTCTTCTCCTCCTCTGCTTCCTCTTCTCCTCCTCTGCTTCCTTTTCCTCCGTGTGGATTGTCCTCTACTCCTCTGCTCCGCAGCTCTCTATTCTTCAAGCTAAAACAATCCTAGAGCTACAACCTACACGTAAAGTGACACAGCTTACAGATCACAGCCAGCAGCCTACAGCCTGCGCTATACAAAAGAGCTGCAGCCTGCAGCCTAACAGCCTGCGCGATACAAAGAGATACAGCCAGCAGCCAACGGCCAACAGCCTACAGCCTACAACCTACACTATAAATCACAGCAAGAGTTACAGCAGATCAAGGTTGTCTTGACAATTCACAAAGTTAACCTTTCTTCATCCCTTCCATTTTGCAGTTTATGATTGTTCGCTATCACTTTCTGCATGGATCAGGTTAGGCACTGTAATCAGGTTAGCGTACCTGTAGTTAGGCGCTGCCCTGTAGTCAGAGTGGGGTTAGCGTACCTGTAGTTAGGCGCTGCCCTGTAGTCAGAGTGGGGTTAGCGTACCTGTAGTTAGGCGCTGCCCTGTAGTCAGAGTGGGGTTAGCGTACCTGTAGTTAGGCGCTGTCCTGTAGTCAGAGTGGGGTTAGCGTACCTGTAGTTAGGCGCTGCCCTGTAGTCAGAGTGGGGTTAGCGTACCTGTAGTTAGGCGCTGCCCTGTAGTCAGAGTGGGGTTAGCGTACCTGTAGTTAGGCGCTGCCCTGTAGTCAGAGTGGGGTTGCGTGGCTCACCAGAGTGGAGTGTCGAGCCAGTGAAGCTTCTCACCAGAGTGGGGTGTCGAGCCAGTGAAGCTTCTCACCAGAGTGGAGTGTCGAGCCAGATGAAGCTTCTCACCAGAGTGGAGTGTCGAGCCAGTGAAGCTTCTCACCAGAGTGGAGTGTCGAGCCAGTGAAGCTTCTCACCAGAGTGGAGTGTCGAGCCAGTGAAGCTTCTCACCAGAGTGGAGTGTCGAGCCAGTGAAGCTTCTCACCAGAGTGGAGTGTCGAGCCAGTGAAGCTTCTCACCAGAGTGAGAGAGAAAACCAGATGTTGGATAAGCCAAAACCATGTGGAGTATCTTTCTTGAAGTGCCAGTTGAAGTTCCATTCTGCATGCGCCATCACCCTCGCCAGCAGCACCAGCGCAGTCAGCAGTAGCACCAGCACCATAGCACCCGCCCGCACCATAGCACCATTCCACCCCCATTGAGTTAGCGTTGCTGGAAGGGGATGGGTAGAGAGAAAGGAGATGGGTAGAAGGAGGGGGGGAAGGAGCAGGTAGGGGAGGTGAGAGAGGAAGGGAGAGGAAATAAGAGAGCAAATGCAGAGAACAGCGGGACAACAGGAGTATTGAAGCAACAACGGATGAATGCATGAATGAGAAACGAGTGCGCAAACCAGAGGCTGGATGGGCCACGCTGTGTCGAGTTTCCCTCTTGGAGTGTCAGTTAGAGTGCTGCTCTGCATGCGCCAACGCCACCAGCAGTATCAGCAGCAGCAACCATTCGCTCCATCGCACCCTTCCACACCCTCTGGGTTTGCGCTGCTGGGATGAGACGGGTAGAGGGAGAGGGGAGGGTACGGAGGGGGGCAGGTACGGAGATGATAGAGGCAGGGAGAGGAAGTGAGCGAGTAAACGCAGGGCGCAACGGGACAGCGACAAATGATGCAATGGCAGGCAAACCCGGAAGAATTCAGAAGTGAAACCAAGGTGGAAGGATGCAATGAAAACAGAGAGGCGATGGTAGCCCATGGCACTAGGTTGGCGAGCTAGCAGGCAACGAAAGCGAGACGCGGGCGTGAGTGTGAGTGCATTCTAACCCCCTAGGACTCTAGTGTGAGCTCAAGCCGCCCCAGTGCCATGTGCTACCATCGCCACGCGAACGTTTTTAGTACCTTCATGCGAAGGCGTAGTTTTGGTTCGAAGCATGCTTGAAAAGAGAGGCTGGGCAATTGTGAACACGAATTACAAGGTAAAGCGGCGGTAAGGATGGCAAGGGTTGAGGAGGGAACTTAGCGGGATTCAGAAGCTGCTCGTCGCCTTGTTACTGTCAGCAGCAGCCCTCCCAGCAGCAACACTCCCAGCAGCAACACTCAAGGTCGCTGGGCGCGTGAGGGAGCGGCGTGGTCAGCAGGGCATGCAGGAGGCACGCACGCCGCTGTGACTGCCTGCCGTGCGTCATCCCACCGCCCTCCCTCCCCGCACCACGCTGCCACAGCCCTGTGCGAGAGGGGGAAAGCTTAGGAGAGGGAAGGGAGCGAGTGGGAGAGAGGAGAGAAGGCAGAAGGGGGCAGGAATTGAAGAAGTTAGTCTAATATAAGCATGGGCGCGATTGAAACAAAACGGAGGCATAATACTGTGAGAGCAAAAGCTGGAAGTTAAACAACAGGTGGCACAGTGAAAGGGTAGGCGATGGTAGCTCATGGCACTAGGTTGGCGAGCTAGCAGGCAACGAAAACGAGACGCGGGCGTGAGTGTGAGTGCATTCTAACCCTCTAGGACTCTAGTGTGAGCTCAAGCCGCCCCAGTGCCATGTGCTACCATCGCCACGCGAACGTTTTTAATACCTTCATGCGAAGGCGGCGTTTTGGTTCGAAGCATGCTTGAAATTTGAGGCTGGGCAATTGTGAACACGAATTACAAGGTAAAGCGGCGGTAAGGATGGCAAGGGTTGAGGAGGGAACTTAGCGGGATTCAGAAGCTGCTCGTCGCCTTGTTACTGTCAGCAGCAGTCCTCCCAGCAGCAACACTCCCAGCAGCAGCACTCAAGGTCGCTGGGCGCGTGAGGGAGCGGCGTGGTCAGCAGGGCATGCAGGAGGCACGCACGCCGCTGTGACTGCCTGCCGTGCGTCATCCCACCGCCCTCCCTCCCCGCACCACGCTGCCACAGCCCTGTGCGAGAGGGGGAAAGCTTAGGAGAGGGAAGGGAGCGAGTGGGAGAGAGGAGAGAAGGCAGAAAGCGGCAGGAAATGAAGAAGTTAGTCTCATGCAAGCATGGCCGCGATCAAAACAAAACGGAGGCATAATACTGTGAGAGCAAAAGCTGGAAGTTCAACAACAGGTGGCACAGTGAAAGGGTAGGCGATGGTAGCTCATGGCACTAGGTTGGCGAGCTAGCAGGCAACGAAAACGAGACGCGGGCGTGAGTGTGAGTGCATTCTAACCCCCTAGGACTCTAGTGTGAGCTCAAGCCGCCCCATGTGCTACCATCGCCACGCGAACGTTTTTAATAACTTCATGCGAAGGCGGCGTTTTGGTTCGAAGCATGCTTGAGGCAATTGTGAACACGAGTTACAAGGTAAAGCGGCGGTAAGGATGGCAAGGGTTGAGGAGGGAACTTAGCGGGATTCAGAAGCTGCTCGTCGCCTTGTTACTGTCAGCAGCAGCCCTCCCAGCAGCAACACTCCCAGCAGCAGCACTCAAGGTCGCTGGGCGCGTGAGGGAGCGGCGTGGTCAGCAGGGCATGCAGGAGGCACGCACGCCGCTGTGACTGTCTGCTGTGCGTCATCCCACCGCCCTCCCTCTCCTGCACCACGCTGCCACAGCCCTGTGCGAGAGGGGGAAAGCTTAGGAGAGGGAAGGGAGCGAGTGGGAGAGAGGAGAGAAGGCAGAAGGGGGCAGGAATTGAAGTAGTTAGTCTAATATAAGCATGGGCGCGATTGACAAATTGTAAAGCCGCAGGGATAACAGGAGGAAAACAAAACGGAGGCATAATACTGTGAGAGTAAAAGCTGGAAGTTAAACAACAGGTGGCACAGTGAAAGGGTAGGCGATGGTAGCTCATGGCACTAGATTGGCGAGCTAGCAGGCAAGGGGGACGAGGTAAGAAGGAGATGCGGGCGTGAGTGTGAGTGCATTCTAACCTCCTAGGACTCTAGTGTGAGCTCAAGCCGCCCCAGTGCCATGTGCTACCATCGCCACACGAACGTTTTTAATACCTTCATGCGAAGGCAGCGTTTTGGTTCGAAGCATGCTTGAAAAGAGAGGCTGGGCAAATGTGAACACGAATTACAAGGTAAAGCGGCGGTAAGGATGGCAAGGGTTGAGGAGGGAACTTAGCGGGATTCAGAAGCTGCTCGTCGCTTTGTTGATGTCAGCAGCAACACTCCCAGCAGCAACACTCAAGGTCGTTGGGCGCGTGAGGGAGTGGCGTGGTCAGCAGGGCATGCAGGAGGCACGCACGCCGCTGTGACTGTCTGCTGTGCGTCATCCCACCGCCCTCCCTCTCCTGCACCACGCTGCCACAGCCCTGTGCGAGAGGGGGAAAGCTTAGGAGAGGGAAGGGAGCAAGTGGGAGAGAGGAGAGAAGGCAGAAGGGGGCAGGAATATGAAGAAGTTAGTCTAATATAAGCATGGGCGCGATTGACAAATTGTAAAGCCGCAGGGATAACATGAGCAAAAGAGAACGGAGGCATAATAATGTGAGAGTAAAAGCTGGAAGTTAAACAACAGGTGGCACAGTGAAAGGGTAGGCGATGGTAGCTCATGGCACTAGGTTGGCGAGCTAGCAGGCAAGGGGGACGAGGTAAGAAAGAGACGCGGCCGTGAGTATGAGTGCATTCTAACCCTCTAGGACTCTAGTGTGAGCTCAAGCCGCCCCAGTGCCATGTGCTACCATCGCCACACGCTGCCCATCCCTCAGTCAACTTTTGATCCCTCCCAAGCAGAAGCAACGTTTTTGTTTCGTGCAAGATTCGATAAGCGAAAGAAGAAAGGAAAACAAGCAGGAAGAATACAGGGTATGAGAAACTCTTAGCCGTGTGATGAGCAGAGGGGTGTTGACACGGCCAGCAGCAGCCCTCCCTGCAGTAGTCCAGCAGCTCGGCAGCAGTGGTCAGCAGGGCCAGCCCAGGCCGTGCGTCATCCCACCGCTCGCCTCTCCCGCTCACCACGCTGCTCCCACTGCTCCTCCCTGCTCCCTGCCGCTGCCGCCCAGTAGATGCGCTGGTGGAGGGATGCAGGCAGGAAGAGAGGAGAAGAGGGAATCAGGTTAACGGAGCAGAGAGTTGAGGTGAGAAGACAAGTCACAAGCAGGGGGTACGCAAGTGGCAGAAGGGAAAAACGGCAAGCAAGCATGCAGTGAATGGTGAGCAGAGCGGAACGACAAGTGAGTGGTCGGCGAGGGGTGGGAGGGGAAGGCGCATGGAGACGGTGAGGCCAGGGGCAGCATAGCAGCGAGCTAAGGCAGCGAGGGGGGACTAGGGAAGAGAGAGACGCGAGCATGGCATGAATGCACAGCTACTCTATGCTACACCCACTCTCTCCCTCTCTCTCTCTGGACTCTACATGAGCTCAGCTGCCAATGCGCCCTGACCCACCGCCGCCATGCGCCTCACAGGAGCACGTTTGCTTGGGACGTGAATCGCGGGATGCAGCAACACAACAGAGTGGTGCAACGACAAGGGCGGGTGGGGGCAAGGGGGGAGTGCAAGGGCAGAGGAGGGAACTTAGCCCGATCCAGAAGCTGCACGTCGCTTTCCGCACGTCGCTTTCCGCACGTCGCTTTCCGCTCGTCGCTTTCCGCCCGTCGCTTCGCACGTCGCTTTCCGCGCGACGTTTCCGCGCGCCGCTTTCCGCGCGCCGCTTTCCGCGCGCCGCTTTCCGCACGCCGCTTTCCGCACGCAGCTTTCCGCACGCCGCTTTCCGCACGCCGCATTCCGCACGCCGCTTTCCGCACGCCGCTTTCCGCACGTCGCTTTCCGCACGTCGCTTTCCGCTCGTCGCTTTCCGCCCGTCGCTTCGCACGTCGCTTTCCGCGCGACGTTTCCGCGCGCCGCTTTCCGCGCGCCGCTTTCCGCGCGCCGCTTTCCGCACGCCGCTTTCCGCACGCAGCTTTCCGCACGCCGCTTTCCGCACGCCGCATTCCGCACGCCGCTTTCCGCACGCCGCTTTCCGCACGTCGCTTTCCGCACGTCGCTTTCTGCACGTCGCTTTCCGCACGTCGCTTTCCCGCGGGTCGCTTTCCCGCGGGTCGCTTTCCGCGCGTCGCTTTCCGCGCGTCGCTTTCCGCACGCCGCTTTCCGCACGTCGCTTTCCGCACGTCGCTTTCAGCACGTCGCTTTCCGCACGTCGCTTTCCGCACGCGCTTTGTAAATGTCAGCAGCAACACTCGCAGTCTTGGTCCCTTGTCAGAAATCGTCGCTTCGATCATCACCGTGAGAAGTCGCAGTCTTAAGCGTCACAGCCAGAACGCGTCACTTCTGTCGTTACTGTGACAAGTGTATTGATTGTCACAGTCGGAAAGCGTCGCATCAGTCGTCACCGTCAGAAGTCACCGCCTTGATCGTCATAGTCAGAGAGCGTCGCTTCAGTCGTCACCGTCAAAAGTCACCGCCTTGATCGTCATAGTCAGAGAGCGTCGCTTCAGTCGTCAC